TTGCAGTTCAAAAACACCTAAGTAACCCAAGGTTAAGAACCACTGATCTAAAAACTACCGTGCACCCTATACCCACAGGACTCCTTAGAACAATACTTTTAATATGATTTGCCTTTCCAAAATTGTATTGATTGTTGTTTAAAGGCTTTCCCCTTTCCTTTCACTAGTAAATTCAACAAATCTACCCCAAATAGCACAAAATATTTGAACTTATTTCCCCTCTTTTCTCTGGTTTCTCTTCAGATCATATAAATCTTTCGCCTTTTACTCCTTTCTCTCTAAATATCCAGGATTTGGTTTATCGTCTACTGTGGATTTTATTTGATCTTTCCAATTTTTTATGATTGAATGGTGGCAAGAGTGGATAAAATGCAGTACTGCAGCCAAAACTCTGCTCACAATGTGCATTTGATCCCAACAGACTCAGCCTTTAATACTTCCAAGCTTGGTAAATTAAGTACCCAGTTTGCGGGGGTGGGGACAATGTGTAACCTGCATAATTGAACTGTAAATCACCCAAATAATGCTCTAAGTGCTATGGGGTGGTATATAAGCATCACACTTTTTTTGCTTTGCTTTTGCATTGCAAGCAATATATCCTTCATCCCCATTTTCTTCAGTGATAGAACATGTTTTAAGAACCATTGATTTTCCTTCAGCCTTTCTTGATCAATGTTATGCTAGATGTTCCCCTCCCCACCTTTCCAAAGGTACAGCAGAAGCAGCCTCCTTACCTAGGAATACTGGCTTTAGCTCGGTGTTAAAGTGTATTTTAAGTCCTGTATGCTTTACGTTGACATATTATTGTATTAGGGACTGGACAACATCTTCCATTAACCCGAGCCACCACAATCAACAGTGAGGGATCATAAAAGTGTTGTAGTTCACCATTATCAGTAGAGCCAAACATTCACTAGCCCCACACTGGGTGGTCTTAGGCAAGTAAGAATTGCATGCTGTTAATTCAGACTAATGGTGATCCTTTTCCAGGGTGTTTTAGGTAAATACTTAGTAGTAGTTTACCATTTCCTTCTTCTGGGGGCTTCCTGGGACTGTGCAGGTTGCAATAACCTCGTTGACAAGATTGGTTATGGAACGCGGATGAATTAATGCAAGGAGTCCCTTGAGACATCTTAAAGTGGTATAGCAGGGTCAGGTCCCAGAGCCATTTTGCAGCCCCACCATCCCTTCACATTTTAAAATGACTGTTGCCATCTCCTCTGCCCTCCTACCAGTCTCCTAGCAAGTGATGTGGGAAATAATGTTGCCGCATTTTGACAGGGCCCTTGCAATTTTGGAGCCCCTAATACACCAACTTTTTAAAAGAGTGACTATATGTACAAAAGGGATGTGGTGATGCTGCGGGCTAAACTGCAGAAGCCTCTGTGCTGCAGGGTCAGAAGACCAGTAGTTGTAAGATCGAATCCACGCGACGGAGTGAGCTCCCGTCACTTTGTCCCAGCTCCTCGCCAACCTAGCAGATCAAAAGCATGTAAATGTGAGTAGATAAATAGGTACCACCTCGGTGGGAAGGTAAAACAGCATTCCCTAGTCACTCTGGCCCCGTGGCAACGGAAACTGTCTTCGGACGAGTGCTGGCTCTACGGCTTGAAAAATGGAATGAGCACCACCCCCTAGAGTAGGACACGACTGGACCAAAAATGTCAAGGGGAACCTTTACCTTTATACGTACAAAGAGGCTTTCTCAGTTAAATCTTGTTCAATTTAACTCATTTTCCAGTCAACATCAACTCTTACAGTACATAACCACTGTGTTACATTTTAAAAAACAACTTACAAATACTATATGCCTGTTAGCCTGTTGGAAGTGTGTAGCCCTCAGGCTGCCTGTAGATCTGAAAAATGACCTCTGAACCACTATAGTCCCTCACCCTCAAGCTTTTGCTGGAAATGCATTCTGTTCTTCGACTGATTTGGTAAGAATGAGCAACATTTCAGTTTGAATTTTATGTTTATTACAGAATCCAAATGAGTATTTAACGTTTGTTCATATTCAATAGGCACCCAGGCAAAAAGAACCCTACTCAGGTCTGTAGTGGCAGGTGACAGACGCATCCACCTGTCACCAAGGCACGGTTATCCCAGACATGAAGCACAACCTCAAAACCATTATTTGCATAGCTTGGAAGTAACTGTAAAGTTATCAGTAAAGTTACCTGCAGAGTTATTTTCCACAGTCAAGAAGGAACTGCTCACATTAAAGGATATAAGGACCGCCAACTTTTAATATTTTACTTATTACAGCAGCCGTGAAGGAAGGATACTTTTGCTGCTTATGTAGACAAGATGGCTGGGGTTGCTTAGTATTTTATCTAAAACAAGGATGTTGTGCTGCTAGTGCAACAAGGCTTTGAACACTTCCTTGGGAATGCTGCATTTGTGAGAAGTCGGAAGTACCAAGCAGCTTATTTCAAGCTTTGCCACCACAACAGGTGGGGCCCAGTATGGATGTGAGCAGTCCAGATCCTTGTTTATATAAAAATCAGAGCAGCCCTACCTCCTACCATACTTAAGGTAGGCAGCAACATGCTCCCCACAACAAATAATATAGCATTAAATGTAACGAGCAACACAGAGTTACTCTAAAATCCCCAGCAATGTTAGTGACAAGTTATTTTTTCTGTTGCTTAACAATGGAACTAAGAGTTAAAAATATTCCAAGCTTTGCTTATTTTTATTACTAAGCGAATGTAAAAACAGGAGTGCTGCACTTTAAATTATTGCATACAAGAAGAGGCAACCCACTCCTCCTTTGCAACTGGGCAACACTGCTATCTGAACACTTTCCCCTCATACCCAACCATAGACAACTCTCCTCCCTGACATTTATTAGTTTGGAGGAGCAGAGTGACGATGCACCTCTCTTTCTAAGTGGCTGACAGGATGTGCAATGTTTCTCACATTCTTGAAATCTCTGCTTAAATGAGAAGCCCCCGGTTCTCTCTCTGCCCTCTGCACATGGCCAGGAGATATGGGACAGGAAAAAGAGAGCTAGATAACACAAACAATAGCTGGTCTGTAAATCAAGCAAAGATTTGTGGATACCTAATAGCTCACCTTCTACTAACAGCTTGCCACTTTTGGCACCAAGAAAACTTTCAATACTCCGAAGCTGTAGTTGACTTCTAAAGAATTACATACTGTGTTTCTTTTAGGAAGTCTCAGCATTAGAACCAGAAGTATATAGAAACGTGTGTGGCCAGTAATACCACCTCTCTCTCAAGACACTCCTCTTTAATATGGCAAACACGGGCTTCTTTTCCCTGGGGACTTGGAAGGATAGTGTGGTTGCTTCACCCACTCATTCTTCTATCCCACTCCAAAATTTATAATACTAAGCACATGCTTCATGTTCTTATGGAAGACTCTTCTCAGGAAGCAGCTTTCCCTCGGGAAGTGAGTCTTTCAACTTTGCAAGGTACAGGACAATAATGATCAGGTGGACCAACAGCAAAATCTGAGCCCCAAGGAGGGCTACAAAAACTGCACTGAGTTCAGAGACTTTAATCCACTTAGCAGTGCAGAGGAGAAACAAAGCGACACCAATGGGCAGCACTAAACTGCAAATAGCTAAAAGAAAACGGGCAAGTTTCCAGCCAACTCTGTCTTTAAAGCACAAGGCCTGTAAGACTGTGGTGAAGGCAAAGAGGCACAGGACTGGTGTGATATAAACAAAGACCCTGGACAACATCAGTGCAGACGTGTTGACGTTCATTTTCTCCAAGTCACTGAGAACAAAACAGCCCAGTTTTCCAGCTTCCTTGTCCCACAGGCAGAAGTTGAAGAAGCCAATTCTTTTGGTTGGAAGATTGACAATGTTCCCAAATTCCCAGGCCAGGGCATAAAACAGCAGCACGGTACTGCTGACTCCAAGGGAGAGATTACTCAGGCAGAAAAGGCACTTTCTATACTTCTGCCACCATGGCCCTGTGCTGAGTTTCCCAATGGCGTGTTGGAACTTCAGCTGCATTTTCCTTTGGAAAACCTGTCAATAGAAGACAACCATTTCAGATTAAAGTCACAAATGTCCTACGTGATTTAGGGCAACCACTCTCACCTTGATGTTTCATCTGAAGCTAAGCTGCAAAAATAGATGGTCAGAGATGATTTAGGAAGATGGTAATGGCACTGGCAATGAATGACCTTTTCCTCTTAGAGTCTGAATTAAGTTGTACAGTACTGAGTCCTGTAAGGCATCATGCTCTGGAAGGGGAAAATTTCCCCAATGCTCACCGAAGACCCTTAAATACTGCAGCAGCAAGACTAAAGAACTGGGGGGGGGGAAGCTTCAATACAGGGGTGAGAAAAATCTGGCCCTCCAGATGCTTTCAACTACAATTCCCATAATTATTTAACTTTAGAAATGCTGGCTGGGACTGATTGGAGTTACAGACCAAAACATCTAGAAGGCCACCTCTGTTTTAATACTGCATCAATGCTGGGTCACCCCATCTCATTATCAATGGATGAGTCTGGTGTCCAGTTCCATCTAGTCCTGTGGTGGGGAACCTTTGCACCCCCCATACTGTAGAATCCCATCTCTGGTGGGATTGGTCACGGGTCAGGGATAATGGGGTTCATAGTTCAACAACACTTAAATCTTCTCTGGTGCAAGAAGAATGTCTATCCTTGTGATTATAACAGCTGGCATTACATGTCCTTAGGGCAAATTACCTGGACTGCAGACCATTTTTCAAGAACCAAAGCCTAATAAAATTACATCACAATGTCATTTCGTGGTGCAGCTTTGACTATTAGCAGGTTTTGTGTGAAAGTTTCAAGTAATGTTCTTCTTTTGTCACAGGCATGGTCCACTCAACAAGAACATGTATTTTTGCAAATTTTTCTCCTTATATATTTCTTTACTGAAGATAAAATTAGTTTATTATGCTTCTGCCAGTTTATTATACTTTTCCAGAGGCCTAATAACAATGATTGTGAGCACTAAACAAAACTAAAAAGCAAATAAAATCGCAACTCCCATGAATGGACCTTCTTTTGCCATAAAATAGAAATCTCTTTGGATCATTCCATAAAAAATTATAATGACCACTGTCAGGTATTATAGCAGAAGGATTGACAAATGGTATCACTGAGGATGGTGTTCTTATGTGGTAAGAAGGCTTCATTGGCAATTGCTACAGGGCCTGGGTTGCCCCAAGTCACCTGAGGGACAAAATCTAAAACCTTACCTGTAGTAAGACTATAAATGAAATGTCTCACCATTTGGGCACTTTTAGCACCAAGCCATGTGCTTCATTTGCAGTCTTAATCTGACTAATGGTAGGGCCAGCAGAGATTATATTTACTATACAATTAGTAAGATACAAGAATCTGCCTGTGGCATTGTAGCAAATATTACTCTTGTCAATCATCATCACTCCGCTTGATGCTTTTCATTTCCTCCCATCTCTGAAAGAAGGCTTTGCATAGACATATTTTCTACAAATTACATCAAACCATGAAACAGCATCCAAGGTAGAAGGCTCTTTAGGTCAGTGGTTCTTAACCTTGGGTTACTCAGGTGTTTTTGAACTGCAACTCCCAGAAACCCCAGCCAGCACAGCTGGTGGTGAAGGCTTCTGGGAGTTGCAGTCCAAAAACACCTGAGTAACCCAAGGTTAAGAACCACTGCTTTAGGTGATCTGTAGACTGAACTTTGCCCCTTAACATTCAGATTACAACCTGCTCTGGTAAAATCATTAGGCAAAGGTGGAAACGAACAAAGATATAGCAGGCTAATCCATACTCACCTGCTCAGGTTGCAGTTTTTCTAAGGAGAATGCAGGAACCAGCAAATAATGAAAATATGCAGGCACAATGTCTTTAGCATACAGTGAACACAATGCAGCACATCCAAATTTTCTTGTGACAGCTCTGGCACCTGTAGAAATCAGATTTCACATCATCATGATCTGATTAAAGTGCAGTCAGCCATTTCATTTGGTAACACCATGCTTATTAATTAGCCAGAATGATGTAGTGTGGTACATAAAATTCCAAAGATCTTCTGATCCATATTAATATATATCTTTTTTGTTTGTTTGTTGTTTTGACCTACATATTGCTCCGTAGTGCTGAAATACTCTCTGAGCAGTTTACAACATAGTCATGTGAACAACACTTTGCCCCCCAGTAAACTGGGCACTCATTTTACCAACTTCAGAGGGCTGGAAGGCTGAATGAACCTTCAGCTGGCTACCTGAACCTATCAGGATCGAAATCAGGTCAAGAGCAGATCCTTGACTGCAGTACTGCAGTTTAGCCACTGCACCACAAGGCTAATAGACCGGAAAGAATCTTGTTTTACTCGACACAGGCAGGAAACCTATGGTTCCTTGGAAGGCATTGTGATGTACACTCCGTGTCCCTATTAGTTTCCCTCAACCCAGGTCCACGCTGGTGACGTTCCTTCTTTCTCTCTCGCTGCCACCAGTGGATTTCTCTTATCCACACAGTAAAGAACTTTACTTTCACGATGCCTATAACAGAATTAGTTTTATTAAAGGGTATGAAAGGGTATGAAGGCCCGCGGCGTCAACACCCGCCACGGGCCTTCGCGATGCTCTCCTGAGAAACCTATATGTAGGACAGGAAGCAACAGTTAGAACTGGATATGGAACAACTGACTGGTTCAAAATTGGGAAAGGAGTAAGACAAGGCTGTATATTGTCCCCCGGCTTATTTAACTTATATGCAGAATACATCATGCGGAAGGCTGGACTGGAGGAATCCCAAGCCGGAATTAAGATTGCCGGAAGAAATATCAACAATCTCAGATATGCAGATGATACCACTCTGCTGGCAGAAAGTGAGGAGGAATTAAAGAACCTTGTAATGAGGGTGAAAGAGGAGAGTGCAAAAAATGGCCTGAAACTCAACATCAAAAAAACTAAGATAATGGCCACAGGTCCCATCAACTCCTGGCAAATAGAAGGGGAAGATATGGAGGCAGTGACAGATTTTACTTTCTTGGGCTCCATGATCACTGCAGATGGAGACAGCAGCCAC